GGGGGGGGGGGGGGGAGCAGCGATTGAGATGCAGAAAGCAGAGAGATGGAGGACAGAGAAACAGAAAATCCCTTCTTATCTGAATGGACTGAGATGGCAAAAGGCCTGCATGAGGCAGGGGAAGATGGAGAGACAGAGATACACAGCAAGAGACACAGAGACGGGAAATCTGACTAGCATCTAGCAACCGGCTTCTTCACAAGTTTAGTTTCCAGCTCATCTATTTAAGTGTGCCATGCAGCAATCTACAAGTACATCTCACAGGACTGTCACTGTGGCTGTCACTTCCATCTCCTCTGGTTCCTTCTGAAAAGGGCTCAATAGTTTCCTTCATTTATGGTAATGAAAGAACGTCACAATGTATTCCTTGTTTTGGAGAAACATGGAACTTACCGCTGACTGTCACAAATAGTAAAAGATTTACATGTTTAGGGATTTTAAATATTAGTTTTTAGATGCTTTTAGAAACCGCTTTAGAAATATTTTTGCAGCCAAATCAAACTTCAAACTTTACATTTATTTATTGATTGATTTATACATTTTATTGATTGATAAAATGCATAATTGAGATGCCTCCTCTGCATTGCACAGATTGATTTCATACACCGTATGTAAGCTTTTTGGCGGTTACATCTTCTTGATTCTTCACAGTACCTTTCGTCTGTAGAAACATGGCCGCCGGCTGCGTCAAGAGGACCCGCTCCCTCTGTAGATATAAACGGCTCATTCTAAGGTAACGAAAACACAATGATTTATACTTTTGGGTGATTTATACACTAAAGAAAAAACACTGATTAATATTATATTCCATTTCTGCCAACAGATCCCCTTAAATGCTACACACTGTACCTTTAAGAGCACGGCTGACTTCACAAACAACATTTTCAGATTATTATGAAAGACGCACATAACCACCGTCATATCACCTGCTTGTGAAGCTATGTTTGCATTCCTGGAGTTTGATTGCAGCTACCTTATATCATCTCGGTATTATCTGAGGTGGAGCCTGGATGGTATTCAGGTGGGACAGACAAGCAGCAACGCGAAAGAAAAAAGACACATACACATACCAACACTCACATTTAAATAGAAACCATCCCCTCTCCCCCAGGCCATTTATATGGAGATGAGAGACTAGGCGGACAGACACACAGACACACAAACACATAAATACACACACACACACACACACAAAGTGGCTCGTAGGGCTCATCGTAACATCATCTCATTGGAGCTGAGCCCTCCAAGCTCATCATAAATGATAATGCCAGACTTCCACTCAGCCTCAAGAGTAGCAATACAGATAAAGATGACACAATGGGCTCACACACAAACACACACACACACACAGAAAGCGGTGACTCAGCCCTCTTTTGGGTCTCTGCTTTTTGAACCGCCCTTTGGGTCCTTCAACTGCCAAGCAGCTCACAAACAAACACATATGCACGTACATATAGACACTGGTTGCCTTGCAGATGCACAGATATGAGAGAGCTCTGTGGTCTACGTGTGTGTGTGTGTGTGTGTGTGTGTGTGTGTGTGTGTGTGTGTGTGCAGGAAGGTGGAGGTGGACTGGGGTTTAGTCAAGATGTCCTCTGATGTCAACGATTTCTGACACAAGACGTGAGTCATTCTTTGATCAGCACGTTTTCCTGCTCACTTGGTCCTCTGGGTAATGAAGTGTCCCATTAGCCTGCTTGGACTTGATTAAAGACACACACACACATTCGTCCTTTCACTTTTTGTTTTTCATGTGACACTTGTTCATATCAAGCTAGATTTAACAACCAACCCCACAGGAAGTAGTCCGATGATCCCTTCCCACCTGTGAACATTGCCAGTTATGAGTCCAGAAGTTCCACAATGAGGAAGTGCAACTGTATAATTGAAACATGATTTATTGCATCGTAGAAGTTACTGGTGAAACCCAGGCTTTGAGTTTTACGACTGCATGACGAACACGTCTGAATGAAGACACACCTGGTTTCAGAGGATGGAGCTTAACTCTGACATCTACACACTAGCTCAGGGCTAACTGGCACATTATGAAAGGACGCTTGAGATCATCTATAGTGTTGTTTTATTGACGGTGTGACGTTGTCAGAGGATATTTTCAAACTCTGAAGTCTCCCAGCAGATGGGACATTCAAGCTCCACCGGCTGCCCTGCAACCAAACAGGGAGACGCAGATTTAGGATCTGTTGACGCAGAGCAGCAGGGAGGGTCCTGTAAAAGAAAAGAAGGAAAGAAACACAGCTTAAGGTCACACATCCACTCCCTCCTCTGGCATGCAGCTGATTGTTGGAGTGGCATTTAATTAATCCTGCCAGGAAAGTTATGGAACAGACGTAAGGAGGGAAAGAACAAAATGAAAGACTTTGACGGAGGGAGGGACTCTGTGAGGTTCCTTATTTCCCAAATAAAAAAACACAATTTCACTAAAGCAATTAAGTTTAGCTTCACTCTGCAGACATCTGAGTTGGTACCTGAACACTGATGTGGCTTCAATCCAACTGTGTTTGCAAGCCAAAGATGAAGGTCAGTGTGAGTGATAAAGGTGTTACAAGCTTTCACATCTGCAGCATGTTATTAAAAGTCAACAGTCATCCACGTTCATTAGCTCTCATCTCAGTTCACTGCTTTACGTCTAAATCCAGGCGGTGAACGCTAACGTGAATCCCCTTCTGCTGTTATCAAGCCCTTGAGCAATGCATTCAACCCCTGCAGGAGGAGACTTGTTGAGGGTGTGAACGTTATGTAAGCTGCTCCTGCCCAGTGAATGAATGAGACCCAACTGAACATCCTCAACACGGACTCCTTCACATAAGTACAGGAGGTTATAAGAGGAGACACTTTGCTGACATGGCTCTTTCTTTCTTTGAAAAAGACATTTTGCATCTGAGGAGACGAAACATGAATGATAAAGCCGTATTGCTTTAGTTGCATTGTGATATAGAACTTCTGAGGGATCTGTGCTCTACTGATCAAGCTCCTCTATATTGTGAAGATAAAATGTGTAGGAAGAGCAGAGATTAATACAAGTTCTAGATTACGTAGAGCCACTTAAACTTGTGCATAACGTGTTAACAGGTGGCCATGTGCACGAGGTTGGTTCCAGGCACATCGCAGTGCAAACACACAACATTAATTGCTAAAATGTGACCATGTACGAGATGAGATACGTTAGAATTATTGTTAAAATGGTGTTGGTCCGAATTATATCACATAAACGGTTTCACCAAATCCGGCAGTTAGGTTTAGGCAACAAAACCACAAACAGTTTAAAACGTTTTTATAGCAGTCATCATATCACAGCTGGTAAGCTGCAAATTGAATAACTTTTACTGTAAATATTGTACAATA